AATTCAGGACAGGCTGCTCGTAAGGATGAGACAGCGCCGATTATTACTGGGGAAACTCCCTTTCTGGGAGTCTTCCATGATGAATTCCTAAGGAGCTGGGAAGAGGTGTTACTGTAAGCACGTTCTGGGCTATCCTCTGGGTGCTGCACATGCGCAGTAGCTGTACATGCGTGTTCACACGTCACGTGTCTCGGCGCCGTGGCTGGCATGTCCAAAGGACACAGTCACTTCTTGACTACCTACCCTGCCTCAAGATCATAGCTCACTGCAGCCCCGAACTCCTGGCTCAAGCAGTCCTCCCACTTCAGCCTCCCAAGTAGCTGGGGCTGCTAGGGCTGCAAGCACGCACCAGCACGCCCGGCTGATTGTTTGTGTTTTTAGGGAAGAAGTGGTTTCCCTGTGTTACCCAGGCTGGTCTTGAACTCCTGGGCTCAAGCAATCCTCCCACCTCAGCCTCAAGTGTTGGGATTACAGGTCTGACCACTGTGCCTGGCCGAAAAAATCTTTTTTTAAATTAAAAAAAGCATTGGGTGCGGTGGCTCACACCTGTAATCCCAGCACTTTGGGAGGCCAAGGCGGGTGGATCACCTAAGGTCAGGGGTTCTAGAGCAGCCTGGCCAATATGGCAAAACCCCATCTCTACTAAAAAATATAAAAATTCACCAAGCATGGTGGTGCACGTCTATAATCCTAGGTACTTGGGAGGCTGAGGCAGGAGAATCACCTGAACCCTGGAGGTGGAGGTTGCAGTGAGCCGAGATCATGCCACTGCACTGCAGCCTGGGGAACAGAGTGAGACTCTGTTTCAGGAAAAAAAAAAAGCAACAGAAACAAATGGCTTCCTGGCAGCGGTGGCTGCAGGGCACTCCCTTTTGTGTGACTCAGGTCATGTCCCTCCCACAGCACTGGTCTCTCTCGTTGCTCGCAGGGCTGGTGAATTACCAGATCTCTGTCAAGGGCAGTAACCTGTTCGAGTTGGAAGTGCGTCTTCTGGATGCAGAAAACAAACTCGTGGCGAACGGGACAGGAACCCAGGGCCAACTGAAGGTGCCGGGTGCCAGGCTCTGGTGGCCATACCTGATGCACGAACGCCCCGCCTATCTGTACTCGTTGGAGGTAATGGTGGTTTGGGGCTTGCCCAAGGGAGGTCTTTTGCCCGCATCTGGTGACCTTGGCTTCAGCAGGAGCCCAGGACAGGTGAACGGGCAGCGTGGTCCTCTGAGCTTTCTGATGTTTCTCACCCTTGGTGGGAGGCCCAGTTTTTGTTGTTGTTGTTGTTTTGTTTTTGAGATGGTCTCACTCTGTCACCCCAGCTGGAGTGCAGTGGCCTGATCACAGCTCACTGCAGCCTTGAGCTCTCAGCCTGCAGCAATCCTCCTACCTTGGCCTCCTGAGTAGCTGGGACTACAGGCACATGCCGCCATGCCTGGCTAATTAAAGAAAAAAAAATTGTAAGCTGGGCACAGTGGCTCATGCCTGCAATCCCAGCATTTTGGGAGGCTGAGGTGGGTGGATGGCCTGAGGCCAGGAGTTTGAGACCAGCCTGGCCAATATGGTGAAACCCCATCTCTACTAAAAATATGACAATTTGCTGGGCATGGTGGTGCACACCTGTAATTCCAGCTACTCGGGAGGCTGAGGCAGGAGAATTGCTTGAACTCAGGAGGCAGAGGTTGCAGTGAGCTGAGATCACACCACTGCAGTCCAGCCTGGGGGACAGAGTGAGACTGTCTCAAAAAAGTTTTTTTTTTATAGAGATGAGGTCTCAGGCTGTTGCCAGGCTGGTCTTGAGTTCCTGGACTCCAGTGATCCTTCTGCCTTAGCCTCCCAAAATGTGAGAATTCCAGGCATGAGCCTCCTTGTCTGGTCAAGGGAAAGACCCCGTTTTGAAGGGCAGGTCCTAGGTTCAGCCAGGGAAGAGCAGAGCCTCTGATTGCTGCATCTCTGCTTACAGGCCCAGAGGCGGCTGCTGGGGTGCACGAGGGGCCTTCCTGGCAGAGGGCTTAGGCTGTTGGGGTGCTCACACCTGGTGTTTTGGTTGTTGTAGGTGCGACTGACTGCACAGATGTCGCCGGGGCCTGTGTCTGACTTCTACACACTCCCTGTGGGGATCCGCACTGTGGCTGTCACCGAAAGCCAGTTCCTCATCAATGGGAAACCTTTCTATTTCCACGGTGTCAACAAGCATGAGGATGCGGACGTGCGTTGGGGCTCCTGGATCCTTGGGGCTGCTTCTGGTCACCCTCCACTTTCACCTTCCCTGTGTCCTGCAGTTAAGGGCAGCTCAGGGCAATGAGGCAAATGGCTCCAAATGGAGAGGGGACTTGTGGGGTGGCTCTCCAGGGTCCTGGCTCTCAGAGGAAGTGCAGCTTCGACAGGGACAGGGGTCACACGGCTCTGCTGTCCCGTAGATCCGAGGGAAGGGCTTCGACTGGCCGCTGCTGGTGAAGGACTTCAACCTGCTTCGCTGGCTTGGTGCCAATGCCTTCCGCACCAGCCACTACCCCTATGCCGAGGAAGTGCTGCAGATGTGTGACCGCTATGGGATTGTGGTCATCGATGAGTGTCCTGGCGTGGGCCTGGCACTGCCGTGAGTCCCCGCTGTGTACCTGCTCCGCCTGCCCAGCCCATGGGCTGCACCATGACCCTCTGTCCCTTCCCTCCTGGCCTGCAGGCAGTTCTTCAACAACGTATCCCTGCAGAACCACATGCGGGTGATGGAGGAAGTGGTGCGCAGGGACAAGAACCACCCCGCCGTCGTGATGTGGTCTGTGGCCAACGAGCCTGCGTCCCACCTAGAATCTGCCGGCTACTACTTGAAGTGAGTGCCCCCTGCCTGCCCTCGGCTAGATTGGGGAGGAGACCCTGGCAGGCGGCTGGCTGGGGTGGACATGTGCTGTTCGAGATCAGCCTCCCGTCCAGCCCAATGGGAAGGCCGTCTATACCTGGACATTCAGGGACCAAATACCCACCCAAATTTTTTTTTCTTTTTTTTTTTTTTTCACTTTTTAAATTTGAGATGGAGTCTCACTGTGTTGCCTAGGCTAGAGTGCGGTGGGGTGATCTCCGCTCACTATAACCTCTGCCTCTCGGGTTCAAGTGATTCTCCTGCCTTAGCCTCCTGAGTAGCTAGGATTACAGGCACCCATGAGCCACTGTGCCTGGCCTGGTTATTATTTTTTTTTTTTTGAAACAGGTTTTCAGTCTGGTTGCCCAGGTTAGAGTGCAGTGGCGCAATGTTGGCTCACTGCAGCTTTGACTTCCCAGGTTCAGGTGATCCTCCCGCCTTAGCCTCCCAAGTAGCTGGGATTATAGATGTGTGTCATCGCGACCAGCTAATTTTTTCTTCTTTTTTCTTTTTCTTTTTTTTTTTTGGATACAGAGTCTCCCTCTGTTGCCCAGGCTGAAGTGCAGGGGCATGATCTCAGCTCACTGCGACCTCCGCCTCCCTGGTTCAAGCGATTCTCCAGCCTCAGCCTCTTGAGTAGGTGGGATTACAGGCACGGGCCACCACGCCCAGCTAACTTTTCCTTTTTTTTTTTTTTCCTTGAGATGGAGTCTCACTGTGGCCAGGCTGGAGTGCAGTGGCACAATCTCGGCTCACTGCAGCCTTCACCTCCCAGGTTCAAGTGATTCTCCTGCTTCAGCCTCCTGAGTAGTTAGGACTATAGGCACACACCAACACACCCTGCTAATATTTGTATTTTTAGTAGAGACAGGGTTTCACCATTTTTGCCAGGATGGTCTCCATCTCTTGAACTCGTGATCCACCCGCCTCAACCTCCCGAAGTGCTGGGATTACAGGCGTGAGCCACCACGCCTGGCCAACTTTTGCATTTTTCGGTAGAGATGGGGTTTCACCGTGTTGGGCCAGGCTGGTCTTGGACTCCTGACCTCAGGAGATCCACTTACCTCGGTCTCCCAAGTGCTGAGATTACAGGTGGGAGCCACCGTGCCCGGCTAATTTTTGTATTTTTAGTAGAGACTGGGTTTCACCATGTTTGCCAGGCTGGCCTGGAACTCCTGGCCTCTAGTGATCCTCCTGCCTCAGCTTCCCAAAGTGCAGGGATTATAGGAGTGAACCACTGCTGGCCCCCTTTTCTTCCTTACAATCGTGCAGTTCTAACTTAGTGTCCAGAGTAGGTTTTTCACTTGCGGTAGAGGCAGCAGAGGTGGTAGAAATGTTTCTTGACTCATACAGCACACCCCAATTTCATGCAGTGCTTTGGGCTGAGCCAAGTCTGCAGCAGGCAGAAGGCTCTGAGAAGTTGTCGCAGCCTGGGCCATGGACAATTCAGAGCTCAGGCCACAGGGGTGTGCTCAGCAGGAGGTGGACAGGACGTTTGTTGCGAAGGGAAGGGGAAGAGTACAGGCTTCTAGGAGCAGGTGTTTGAGGCTTCCAGACAGGCTTCTTTGGGAGGTGGCCAGAGGAGATGCCTGTTTTCTGGGGCAGGATTTGGAGGGAGCCACCCAGGCTGGAGAGGTTCAGTCAGGCTGTCCGAAGACTTTGAAGCATCCCATCTGAGAGCCTGGCTGTTGGAGAGTGTGGGTTTGGAACTTGAGGTAGGGGGTTCTGTTCTGATCTGTGCCAGTCACAGCCTTCAGATGGGTAGAGCAATGATTGGGGAGGGCGTAAAAGAAGAAATGAACCGAGGAAGGAGGAAAACAGGCTTCAACAACAGTCTAGGCTGGGCGTGGTGGCTCATGCCTGTAATCCCAGCACTTTGGGAGGCCGAGGTTGGTGGATCACCAGAGGCCAGAAGTTGGAGACCAGCCTGGCCAATAGATATTGAAACCCCATCTCTACTAAAAGTAAAAAAATTAGCTGGGCGGGGAGGTGGACGCCTGTAATCCCAGCTACTTGGGAGGCTGAGGCAGGAGAATTGCTTGAACCCGGGAAGCAGAGGTTGCAGTGAGCGAGATGATGTCATTGTACTCCAGCCTGGGCAACAGAGTGAGATTTTGTTTCTCAGAAAAAAAAAAGGGCCGGGCGTGATGGCTCACGCCTGTAATCCCAACACTTTGGGAGGCCGAGGCGGGCAGATCACGAGGTCAGGAGTTCAAGAGCAGCCTGACCAACATGATGAAACCCCGTCTCTACTAAAAATACAAAAATTAGCCAGGCATGGTGGTGCGCGGCTGTGATCCCAGCTACTTGGGAGGCTGAGGCAGGAGAATCGCTTGAACCTGGGAGACGGAGGTTGCAGTGAGCCAAGATCAGGCCTCTGCACTCCAGCCTGGGTGATAGAACAAGACCCTGTCTCAAAAAAAAAAAAAGTCTATACTGTGGAGGACTTGGGTGGGTGCTGGGAGCTCTGAGCATGGACGGGTCCCTCTGTTGGGTTTTTCTTCCCTTCATCCCTCCTGGTTAACTCTACTCAGTATAAGGGCCATTTCCTCTTATTTATTTATTTATTTTTTGAGATGGAATTTTGCTCTTGTTACCCAGGCTGGAGTGCAATGGCGCGATCTCGGCTCACCGCAACCTCTGCCTCCTGGGTTCAAGCAATTCTCCCGCCTCAGCCTCCTGAGTAACTGGGATTACAGGCATGTACCACCATGCCCGGCTAATTTGTATTTTCAGTAGAGACGGGGTTTCTCCATGTTGGTCACGCTGATCTTGAACTCCCAACCTCAGGTGATCCACCCGCCTCGGCCTCCCAAACTGCTGGGATTACAGGCATGAGCCACTGCACCCTTCCTAAGGGTTGTTTCTTCTAAGAGGCTGTCCTTGACTCTCCGGTCCAAGTTATGTTTATTGTCTAGCAGAGCCCAATTCCTGCCACCACTTGTCACTTCCATTTGAAACATTTCTTTCATTGTTTGTTTTTCAGAGTCAGGGTCTCGCTGTTCCCCAGACTGGAGTGCAGTGGTGCAGTCACGGCTCATTGCCACCTCGGTCTCCTGGGCTTAAGCGATCCTCCCCACTCAGCCTCCCAAATACCTGGGACCACAGGCGTGCAGTGCCATGCCAGGCTAAGTTAAAAAAAAAATTTTTTTCCCCAAGATGGAGTCTTGCTCTGTTGCCCAGGCTGGAGAGCAGTGGTATGATTTTGGCTCACTACAACCTCTACCTCCTGGGTTCAAGCAATTTTTCTGCCTCAGCCTCATGAGTACCTGGGATTACAGGTGTGTGCCACCATGCCCAGCTAGGTTTTTTTTGTATTTTTTTGTAGAGGTAGAATTTCACCATGTTGGCCAGGCTGGTCTCAAACTCTTGACCTCATGATCCACCCGCGTCGGCCTTCCAAAGTGTAGGGATTACAGGCGTGAGCCACCATGCCCGCCCCTAATTTTTAAATTTGTTGTAGAAACCAGGTCTTGCTATGTTGCCCAGGCTGGTCTTGAAATGCTGGTCTCTAGTAAGCCTCCAAAGTGCTGGGATTCTAGGCGTGAGCCACCGTGCCCGGCTCTTGCACCATTTCTCT